CAGAGAAGAACCAAATTGCACGTACTAAGTGAAAAACTAAACGCCTTGTTTATAGACCAACTAAATAAGATGGCCTCCACGATTAAGAGTAAGCTATTATCTTAAGTTAGCTATATAAAATGTATAAACGGTGGCCTTATCGCAAGAAGCAATGTTTTCCAGGTAACATTTGGAAGGACAGGAGTGCTATGAATAATATAGGTGGTCTAGTAAACTAAGACAACATCGGAGATACAGATATTTTAACACATGATTATATTCTTGTAACTTATTTAAGTCTGGACGCAAATTTCTGATGTGTATGGCGTTACATGGCATATGTAGTAATAAGTTTAATTGCAGCGGCATCACTAATCAGTTGTGTTATGTGGTGCCTAGAACTGTATAGAGGCGCGAGGTGCGCGTACCTAGGCTGTTCCACACTGGTAAATGCAGAACCAATGCCGGTGAACGGGTTCCTCTCCGTCACATGGTAACGTACAACACACACCTTGCTAATGCTGACATTTCGCACAGTCGCAACCATAATTCAAAATTGCAGCACCTTAGATTTTTAAAACTTCGCGTTAGACTTTAACTTCTATAATTTATATAAAATTAAACATATATTTATATAAAATACGCACGACATACACTTCGCTCCTTCAAGTATTATTTCGTGGACATAGGTGTGGGTTGCAAGTTCACTCAACAGATTATTTACTCTAATTTTAAACTAGTTATTACCCAACGTATAACTGTTTAATGTCCCATTAAATAAAATAAAAAATAAAATCAAAGAAAAAGTAATGACATACGTAGAGCAGATGCATCTTCAACGTCTAATGAGGTTGCAACTGACTGTGAGTCATTTTACTTAATGAGAGATGGTAGATTTATCCATTGCAATAATTACTTATAAGCTTGAGAAATGTTGCAAGGTTACGAGTAATTAATAGCTTGGCAATTTTAAACATACAAATATATTTGGTCTAGTACAATCTTTACTACAAACCTAAAATTTTAATTGTTACCTCTAAAACTACAAGTCGAACTAAAAAAATTTTTAGCATTTCATAGCTAAGTTATTCAAGAAAGTTATAAGCTATTGAGCATTAGGCTACGAACCTTAGAAGCAGAACAATGAACATAAAGGCGGATACGGCTAATTAGTTCTATTTACTGAAGGATTAGAAGACAGTTAGGTATTTTGATTTGAGAACGGTAGATTATTTGCTCGACAACCTTTGATCAAGACGCAATTACGTATAGATATTAATTTGCTTCCTAGAATAAAGGTTGCACCTTGGACTCTTCATAGAAGTTTTAAAAAAATCTTGCATTTAATAAGGTATTGAGATGGACATGGCCTAAAGCTCAATCAAGGTGACATGTCCTCGAGCACCGTTTTTTGTGTTTTTTGACACAACTTTGTGTACTATAATTGAGTGGTGTTTGAGTATTTGTATGGTTTAAAGATTCATTTTTCTATCACGTTTAATAAAATAGTTATCGTCAATTTGGTATCGTCATTGCTGATCAATTGATTGATCAGACAATCAGTATTACAGTCGATACGATCGACAGAATATTTGCATCAATAGAAAACTAACAACCAATATTATGTCACTATATTTATTACATTATTCTATAGTGGAAATGTCTATTTTAGTTTTGTTATTTAGTTTTTTAGGGATCGCAGTGTCTATCGATTTGAAATTGACATATATGCTATAGTTATAGGAGTTATAGGGAGATACTGGCATTGGTACAGGGTCCTATCCACATTTAGACTTAAAATACGGTCAATAATCAGGGCATTAAGTCCGCCGATGTACACAAGTGCATAAAGTTGTGAACAGATAAAATAATGCGCTGAAAGGCATTTTTGTTGTCTGCTCGTCTGCCTCCTCTAACATACAACTAACATATAACTAACAATAATAATATTTTTCTCCACATTCTGCGAATTATCAAGACGAACTCATTAAGAAGTATGTAACCACTATGGTTGTTTCAGGAGTATCAGGAACGATAAATCAACTGTTAATTTAGTTTAAAGAGTATTTATCTTCTTCTATAATTTTTTGTCTTATGTTATTTATAACAAGGACTTTCAAATGTCTTAAGTGGTCACACCATCATGAAATTTTAAGAAAAATACGTTTTTATAAATGATTGCTATAAAGTTAGTGGCTAATTAGATTGTTTATACTTTTAAGGATATTTTATTTTTTAGTTAACTGCACTTTATGCAGACTTTCACTGGCACAGTACTTATTTCATGCTATTTAGGATAATTTATGGCTGGCAGGAGCTGGATGCGAGAAGCCGAAAATCGATCTAAGTGTCGTGCAATGGGACAGGCCTATGGCCTATGTTCGTAATGAATATTGGATTTGGACAAAAATGTCTTGACTTTCCCCCTAAAGGAAAACCCATCTGGGCTGGAACCAGGAACAAATAATGGGCATTTACTAACCATCACAGAGTAGACGTGAAAGGTGTCAAACGTCAGACGCAAAAAGGTGAATTGTGATTCTCACTATTTCTCAAATTGGTAATAGCTATAACGCTCTTTTGTTTTTACACAATCTTCAAAGGCAGAAGTTTAGACTTATGTTTTAATAACAAATATTCAAAAAAAAAAGAGGACTATTCCGAAGACATCTGAACGTATGTCAAAAGTAAGAGTGGTCTTCAATATCCAAATACACACATTATATTAAAAAACGAAACATTTGCATTTATACCAAGTATCGTATGAATTGAAAGAACATGTCTATCCTTCTACGTATAAGTTGAATATTTTTAATTTCAATATAAATGAAATATAAAATAAAATAATTATATGCTATAACAATATTTAACTAAGGCACATTCAGTAAGTACCTTAAGGACGCCAATCTGTGCTAAGAACGTACTTACGTGTAGTATCAATCAATCTGTGTAGATCTCGATCTACACAGATTGAGGAAAGGCGTTCGATTGTGTTAATCATGACATCTTGATTCCAAAACTATGACTTGAGATCCAACGTAATTTGCTCAGATGGATCAGTACATATTCGTCTAATCGGTTAAGGGCATTGTTTGTGGGTAGTTTGCAGATTAGTCTGCATTAAAATCTCTTTCGGTGCCACCCAGGGATCTTAGTTGGGACCCTTTTTCGGTGCATATTCAATCTCAATCATATTTTAATATAAATACAGATTTGATAACAACAACGTTAAAAGGATTAATGCAGTGAGATCTTTGTGAATATTAAATCTAATATTCGTAATTGCTGTTCTCAGAATAAATTGTTAGCCTCATCAGTAGTCTCTTATAATCATAGTTTCCAACCTGGATCCTATTGATCTTTAATAGCCTATACTGTTCTATGCTCCAAAGTGTAACACCAGACTTACTCATTTATTTAATATACCTAATCACCATACTAATGACGGAAAAATGTTGTTAGATTAAAGCTTTTAAGTTAAACTGATATTACAGTTACCTAAGAAGTCATATCCATATAGTGAGTATCTGCACTAGTAAATAGATAAGATACTATTTTATTAATATTTATTTGTTTTAGTTTTAAAACGAAACGAATGTCGTGAAATTGTTATTGGCTTATGAATCATTGTAATAATATGATAGTTGGCTTTCAAGTTAAATCAGTTGCTTTTAAAACTTGTCAAAACGGTACCTACATTTGGCCTACAATTTTTTTATGTAATAAATATTTTCTTTTAATATTTCTCATTCTCATTCTAGTTCACTCAACGGTCAGAAAGTGTTCCTGTTCTTGTGATCACTCCAAATCACAGGACGGACGTACGTCCAGGTACGCGACCCATGCCTCTTCTGCTGCCGCTGTCTCGGTCCCGCTTCCTTATCCGAGACATGCGGCATCCCCTACCCAAGCTTTCTCGCTCTATCCGTCTTTCAGTTTCCTAATTTACCTTCTTCCTTTTCTCATATCAAAAACGATTACATTCTCAAGGAGGCTGGGCGTCTTTACATAGTGTAAAATGAAGTCGTTTTTTTCTTGTACGCTCAGATTTTTTAAACTACGCAAAGGATTTTCATGCGGTTTTCACCGATATAGAGAATTATTCAAGAGGTGGGTTTATATCTATAATACATGCATATTATAGTAGAGGCAATCCGAGAATTTCAAAGATTTGTAATGTAAAGCTGTAAAAAACATGTTTTTCTGTGCTTACATTGCAAACGCGGGCTAAACCTTACAAGATAGACCAAAATAATGTAATACGGAATGGTATATCTTAAAAAGATTTACAAAAAAGTCCTGAATAGTATATGTCTATTTCCTAAGGATAACCCATATTAACCATTTTTATCTTATAATTTTCTACACATACTAGCTGTGAAATCTTTTACATATTGTAAAAAGTAATGTGTAATTTCCGAAGCTATTTTGAACAATACAGTATTATTCCTTATATCCTGTAGTATAGTTGTATCATACTAATAGTATAATTAATTACTCCACAATGAAACCACATTAGTAGTATATACATTGCACCCGTAAGAAGCAGGGGTGGATCGCTAGTAAAATATAAAACCATAACCATTTCGCAATGAAATGAAGGAGTGTGTTCAATGTCATCTCATACATGTTTTCTTAAATTTTAGTTAGTCATTTCAAATGAAGGTCAATCATTACCATTAATCACTGAAATATTTTAAAATCTTTGTTTAAATTTTATTCATCAATGTATTTATTTAATGTCACTTTTTCAGTAAGAGGAATACCACTTAATGTTAATAAACAATATGCATGAGCTGAGTCTTCAGGTTTAGCATAAAATTAATTTAATATAACAATAATTATTAGAATTTGTTATTTTTTATTTATATAGGGGCAAACTAGCAGACAGGGCACCTGATGGTAAGTGACTACCGTTACTTATGGACACCTGCACCTGAAAGGTCTCAAGTGCTTTGTCGGCCTTTTATGGAGAAGGTTTGTTTCTTATATTGTATAGTTATTTACTAAAAAACACTTACCAGGAGTGAGATCTAATTTGTCTATATGATCGCCGAGCACTGACGCCCAGCTCTGCAACTGGTCGAGTATACCCCAAGGCGTCGTCATGGCGACTGTGAGGATGACCAGTGTGTGCGGGAATGTCTCCTCGCTAAGAGCGAACTTGAGCAGGTTTGTGTGTCCTGGATCACCATCCAGCACCCATACACTGAGACGTGTCTGATCTGTATGGAACAATTAAATATATATTAAGTATAAATAAAACCCAAGGTATTGAAAAATTACACTAGCACATGAGTTTAGGCCTTCGTTCAGCAGCGGTTGGCATTAGAATTATGATAAGTATTGGATAGTAATGTCCGTGTGGTGACAGATTAAGAATACAGTGTCACCGCCCCTATTCATCCCATGGGTGTCGTAAGAGCCGACTAAGGGAGAAAACTATGCAGAACAACAACACTGCAGGGAGAAGGAAAACTTGACACAAACCCTATACAAACCTGTCTGGCCAGCGTGGTATAGTATGCCAAAACTTCCTATCTTAGGAGAGGCCTATGTCCACCAGTGGACTATTAAAAGCTAGTTACAGTTAAAATAGCTTTATCACATCAACAATGTGATAAAGCTATTTTAACTGTAACTAGCTTTTAGTAGCTAGTAGTAACTAGCTTTCGTTGATGAATAACTACAAAAAAAACTTAGTAAACATCCTGTTTATACTTTTCAATAACTCATCAACTGAAAATAACCAACACCAATAATCAATATGAAATTGCTCTACTATTTCTTTCATTATTGCTTTTAAATTTAGTATTATTTAGTATAATCTAGTCTCATTCACATTTTGTGACATCACACATCAACAGCTTTCACTAGTCCACTGCTGTATACTGGCCTCTCCTAAGGAAGGAGGTTTTGGCCTACTATACCACGCTGGCCTGACAGTTGGTATAGGGATTGTTTTAAGTTTTCCTTTGCAGTGCTGTTGCAGGAACCACTCCCACAGATTGCAGGAAACGGAAGAAAGATGTAAGACATCAATAAATATTATCCAAACTGTAGAATTATTCAAGCCTTTTTCTTTCAAATAATCATGTTTGAAATACACATGTTATAAATTTCTAGCTGACCCGGCAAACGTTGTATTGCAAAACCAAAAAAAAATTAGGGATGGGTCACCCTTACCATTTAGGGGTATGAAAAATAGATTCTCAGACCTACCCGATGGGCATACAAAATTTCATGAGAATCGGTCAAGCCGTTTCGGAGGAGTACGGGAACGAACATTGTGACACGAGAATTTTATATATAACATTACTATTTAACTAGTCTAAAGACTATCGACAATAAAAACCTAAGCCAAGTACAGTACAGGTACAAATATGAACTTAAATTGGGCATTAAGTCCACCGATGTACAAAAGTGTATAAAGTTTGAAATAAGATAAATATAAATAAATTCAATTCAATTTTTAAATGTTACATTTGGACAATAAATATTGACGGGCCTGTTGGTCTTGTGGTTAGGGATTCTGACCGCTGGTCCAGGCATTGTGGGTTCGATTCAAACCCATGACAAAAATTTATGTGATGAGCATTATCATTTACTTTGTGCCAATATGTAATTTATCTATAAATATGTGTGTTTTGAAATATGTAAGTATGTTTATCAGCAGTCTGGTCAGGTCACCATAGTATAAGCTCTACCTACTTTGGGATCTAACGGTTGTGTGTGAAAGACAGGAATACAAGTTACAGCATCAAAAATTCCAATCAAATAAGAAACAATTAGTCTAGACAAATAACTGAATTATATTCCCTTTGTAATTTATTATGAGGATTCTTACTTCTTGTATGAGTTTGGTTGTGTACAACTTTTATATACACAAATTTATTTAATTTATAAAATTGAATTGAAACCTTTTTAAGTAAAATATTAAGTTTAAATTGGGCGATAACTTTATTAAGTCAGTGTTTTTATACTAGTTTAGTCATAAAAGAATCAAATAAGAATGTTTTCTCAAAATTCCTGTATGAAAACATATCATTATTATATTTGTCTTCTTTAGGGATGTAAATTCCTATATTAGTTATCATTTAGTTTAGTCATAACAATTGGATATCACTTGTCTTCAATGTCAGACTAAACATTTTATTGTGTTGTGACAATGTAGGTTAAACATTTCATTAAAGATCTACAGTTTGTTTATTGACAAGTTTATGTAAGAGAGACAGAAAAGTATTGTACTCACCATCACGATACTCATCTCTAACGTCTATATACGCATATTCGAGAGCCGACCCTTTCTTAGGGTCCTCAACACCTTGTAATTTCGCTATCAAAGTAGTTTTTCCAGTCTCATTATCACCCAAAACTAAAACATTTTTGTTTGAAGGTAGTTTTGTGTTCCCTTGGTTTTGGACCTCTTCTAGAATTGCAGACCTGCAAATTTACGAGAATACTGTATTCGTTGTCATCGACGGCGCGAGGTTGCCACTATGACGGGAAAGTGTACACAAATGTAAGGATTTGTCACCGTGGGAGAATGTATTGATGATACTTTACATACAAAGGTAAGACAACGCAGCTAGGTCACATATTTCCCAGCTTCATAGCTTGACATCACGTAGGTGTGACACATTGGATCCCTATATGGGGAGTGCATGTTACCCGTAAAATTAACAGTGAACCGTTACCACAGATTGTCCTTGGCGTCTTCTTTTTCTTTCTTTTTTGACTTAAGCCCATTAGCCTGGCCGTTTGTCTCCATTCTTCAGCTAGGATAGAAGATAACAACGGCACAGAAAGGCTTTTCCTTCGTTTTCGTCTCTTCTGCCGTTCATACGTCACTCTCGCGATGATGTGTGAGTTGCTATGTATAATAAATTTATTTATACTGTTACTCTGTATAAATTTAACAACACAAACATGGTGACCCTAAATTATTAACTTAATTATAAGGAGCCATAATAAGCCTGAAAGAATAGATTTTTATAAATCATGACTTAGAATAATAAATATATAATTTACAAAAAAAAGAAAAGTAAAATTGCTTTAGTACAGTTAGCTAGTTAATTGTAATGGTAATATTTGACTTACTTTTTAATAATCCATACGGGCTGTGTTGTGGTCATAGTTGATATCATCGACTAAATGGAAATGTATTGGTGAAAAACAGTAAGTAAATTGTAAAAGTAACTTTCCAGAAAACTAAAAAGTTCTTTTGTACAGTTGAAAAAAAGAAATTTGTTTTCCTACAATAAAACTTTCACAGTATTTGTACATGGTTAATCATTTTAGTAATATTTTAACGGAATCTCTATTTAGTGTTTTCCTCAATAACCCTGAATTATTCAACTGTCATATCAATATTTTGTAATTGTTCACGAGATTGTTCAGACCTATTTATATTTTATAGGTAATATCGAGAAGGATAAAGTGTTATTCAGATGCAGAATATTGAATTTAATGAAATTGATTACTATTAAGTGAAAATGTTTAAAAAGCCTAATCCCACTAAAAAAAACAATTTATCGCAGGTGAGTCATGTTCATTATTATTTGTTCATTATTAGGGTCTCATCCGGCTCTAGTCGTGCGGTTAATATTAGTTTGGTTACAGGAAGAAGTCATTCCAAATAAGCTTCAGTAAATTCCATTTCGAGGTTAGTCTCAAAAGTTTCTTATCAGCTGATTGGAAATTTTGTAAACAAAGGTTCATGTCGTACTTAAGTTGTTAATTGAGAAGTGTGAGAGCTGAGATCACTCTTTGTTTAATTTAACAAACGTTTTCTTATCGTGGGAATAATTTATTGTACAACAGATACTAACTGTACACAAATTTTTACCACAGCAATGTGGTTAAGTATATTTTTTACAGTACTTTCTTGATAATGTTGATAAAGGTTTAAAATTTACACATTAAGTTTAAAATTTATGTACCTATTTAGTACTAAGTAACATTAAACTATCCTAGAACAATGTAACAATGCAATGTCTGGAGCATTCCTTTGTTAACCTGTGTGAATGACCCCACAGACTACAGGTTATTGATCTTTATGTATTCTTACTGTGACCTTAGACCTAATATCCAATTTCAATTTAGAATAAATAACTGTTTTAGGGAACATAGATTTTAAAAAGTATGTTATTTCTTAAAAAATAACATCTGTTTAACAGTTGTTGCAGAAGATGTGTTGCTTAATGTGTTTAATGCAACAAAGAACACTGCAATGCTTTAATTAAAGAAAATTGACTAATAAGAATTGCACACTACACTACTAGTGTTCTTGTAAACTCTTCCAACTGGAACTTAAGGTGTTAGTGGAATTAAAGCCTGGAAAAACATTACTATGAAGAATCTCTTAGAGTAATGCTTACTAATATTAAAATTGGGTATTAATTTCCAGATTTTCAATGTACTTAAATACATAGTCTGTATTGTAAACAATAATTTTGTCAAAAAAAGTCTTGTCTATGCACAAATTAAAAATCATATAGTTTTTCTAAATTTATGAATAGACAAACTTCAATTTAGTAAAGAAAATGATTTTAGTTTTGTGATGATAATGGTTATGCAGTGTTTGTAATTTAACTGTAATGTATTATGAAATGTTTAAGTTTAAACATTATAAAGATACTTTTGATAAATACTTTAATTTTTATACAATATTTCTAAATTTTAGTAGGATATTTTTATTAGCTTACATCAACATGACTCAAATTGCCAATACTTATGAAACAATTATTTTTATCATACCATCAGGTTAGGTTTATATAGTTTTTTATATTTAAAAATTTTTTTTTTGGTACACTGCGAATAGTAGTTTGAAATTAAGAAAAAGGCAATACTAAACCTAATAAATTAAGCAATTTTTAGTAATAGTTAAAGACTATAATTCTAGACTAATAATCCAAGATAGGACATGTTGAATAAAACATTACAAAAGTTTCCTCTAAATTTGATTAATAGCTTAAAATTAGTGAGTAGTTACAGGTCTAATATTACATATCCATTTTCACAGTTTGGCCTCATAGATATACCCGATTTGGATGATAATGATGAGCCCATGGACCTGTCAGATGATGATTTGGATCTTGAAGCAGAGTTGGCAGCTATCAGTGGAGGATCTAAACGTCAAAAGCCTAAGAAACCCGCACCAATGCCTGCAGCTAACCTTGACGCGATGATTGCAGCTAGCTTGAAGGACATACCTTCTGATGAAGATGTTTCTGGTATGATCGGACTGCAGATAAATGTAATATTATGATAAATGGACTGCATGGATGCCGTAGCGGTTAAAGCGGTCACCTTTCCTACTGTGCTGAGTGTTGTGGGTCCCATCCCCACACAATTAGTAGATCACACAACACTTTGTGTGATCTACTAATTGTTGTTATGAGTCTGGGTGTTCTTTGTGTCCATTTCCATGTGTGTTTGTAAAGTCCCCTACGACACAAGATGTATACCTAGTGGGCTAGTTGTCTTTCTAATTTAAGAAAAAAAAAATGGTGATTGTAATATTACTAACAATGTCTTGTTGTAACACCCACTTTCAATTTAGATTATTTACGTCAATTCACATACTTCACTATAATCTGCTTGATTAGTTGAAATTCATAGTTGTTGAATAGGGCAATGTTTCTCAATGAACACAGGAGTTAAAATCTTAAACTTAACTTGTACATTTTGTACTAGTACATTTATGCAAATCTCTTAGAAACTTAATATCATTATAATACAGTATAAGACTGACAAGTCCAATTAGTTATTTTTTATTTTATTAAACTGGTACATACAAGTCTAAATCACATGCTGTAGAAAGAGATAACATCATATTTGTTAATGTTAATTTAATAAGACTTATATTATTTACTAAATTATAAAGAAATTTAAAAACAGTAATGAATATATTTTTTAACAGTTTTACGTAAACTAAATTTGATGAAGACTGTTATTTTTCAGTTCAGTTTATTTATTATTATATTTTTATTTTACCATAGTTAACTACATTATTATAAAAGATAACATAATACGTTGTAACATTTTTAAGTTATCTATGCATGTTAGAATAAAATCCACACCATTTAAATGCAAGAGGTTTTTTTAAAAAGACAACTCTGTACTAAGTATAATCTGTGTAGCGGTGGACTTTACAAATCTACATTAAACGGACACAAAGAACACCCAGACTCGAGAACAACAATTTGTTGTCTGGTGCTGTATCTGTCGCTTGTATTGTTTAATCTCTTTTTATTTGCCAATCATTTTGCAAAATCTTTATTATCTTAGGTGATGACGAAGATGATCCTGATCTGTTGGATGAGTTGAGAGAACTAGCCGTAGATGACGATGAGGCTCCTCCACCACCTCCGCGCACGTCTCGCCCGGCGCCGCCGCCGCCTGGGGCTTCAGTAAGCACTGATAGCAGCATAGTCAGCTTCTTGCAAGACAGGATCACTAACTATACAGCTGCTGAGAAGAATGCTAAGGCGAACGGGGAAAGCAGCAAAGCTAGAAGGTGACATTGCTTTTTAATTTTATTATTTTAATCCCTGGGCGTCTTATGGAATCCAAAAGGTCGCAGCCGACTCAAACGATGCAAGTACTCAGTACAAAAAAGCTTTTTTTTCTTGTTACTGTAAAGTGCGTCTACAGAGCACAATGTTAAGTCCATATTTAAATGTTTATACTTTGGTTGGGTGGGAGCGGAGTCGTTGAAGTCGGCTACGATCTAGATGCCGCCTACTTCTTGTCTATTGAGAATGATAAACAATCTTTCTAGAATGATTCCAATTGAAATATCTATAAAAAGTTTTGGCAGTGGATTACCACAGAAAAACAGTTATTTACAATATTTTTTTATGGTTTTTAAATCAAACAAATATTTCAAAATCACTGTGATAAAATTAAGTTCAATCAATTAATAAATCAAGATATTGTAGTCCACTGCTGAACATTGATCTTTCCCAGTGCGGGCACCACCCCTCCATCAATAACCATGAGGAGTTTATTTTGCTACAGATTCAATCGCGGTCTAAAAACCCTGAACGATCTTCTAAAACAAGCAAAAGCTGGCAAACCGATCAACGACGAGGATATACCCCCGCTTGTGGTGGTGAAAAAGCAGGCTGATATGCCACAGCCTCCTTCTGCGCCACCTGAACCTGAGCCGGTCCCAGAACAGCCTTTGATAGACTTAGGGCCCCCAGAACCTAGCCCGGAGCCTAGCCATCCGGAACCTAAAGAACCACCGCCTCCACCTCCGGTTGAAGTCCTCAGTGATGAGAAACAGAAGGGACTACAAATTATATTGAGTAAGTTTGAATGAAATGCATATTTTGGGGCTTTATTTATAAAAGACAGTATTAATCTTGTCTTTTGGTTTTGGTATTGTTTTGTCTTTGTTAAATGTTATATTAGAAAGTATGGACCAAGTGATTAAACGTTACCTTTTTTATAATACCCGTGCAATATGAATAATGACAATTCAAATCGGGCTATGTGATGCTTATACAAACTTAAGTTTTAATCATGTTCCGTCCAATATGAATAACTTTTATACTTAAGATACATTGGGCAGGTCTAGGACTAAGACAAACATAGATTATCTACAAACTGGCTTGTTAAATAAAATCTGACAAAACTTAAATAAAGAGTTTTTACTTGAATACCTATAAAATGTTTTACAACAATGAGGTATGTTATTATTGTAAAAGGGTAAAGCACGTTATGATGTCGGTCCCGGTTGCCATACGAACACCTGTGGCAATAGTCACGGGTGGTTAGAGCCCCTAAAAAGTCCGAGAACAGTCTTTCTCGATATCACAATTTCGATATCGCCTAATGCTTGCTCCGCGTAAAAAATCGAAGTAGCAAACTAGTTTTGAAAAAAGTCTCGGAGGAAGGTATGTTAAGATTAAAATAATTGAATAAATTATAATATTCTTGTGAGTGCCCAATAGATGAGGTAAATTATTGATAAAATCTGCTTCATTTGTTAATTTCAATAGTTTTTTGCCTTAATTGTGTAAGTTAATTGCCTACTCATACTAATTATCTAAACTGTCTGGCCATTACAAATAATGTCATATTGATCACTTGGTCCATGACATATACATATTTCTTTATTTATGAAAAAGTCACCCATCAGGACGGGTTGATTAATAATGCAAACAATATCACATGTAGTTTGGGTGTTTTCTATGTATAATATGTACGTATTTACAAAGAAAAAAAAGTATGTAAGTATTATATCAGTCAATCTAGCTTCCATAGTACAAGTTCTGCTTAGTTTGAAACTAGATTGTGCGTTGTGTGTCAGATGTTCGAAAATATTAAATATAGATAATTATATACACATGTACAAACCACTAACACTAGTCTAAGTTGCTAAGTCTAGCATTTGCTAGAAGGGTGTCAGAACTCAGGCAAATTTCAATGCATTGCTGAAGAACTTCTCTCCTGTAATATTTATTATATTTCATATTAATACCTAATAGCTGTTTAAACCATATAATTTGTTTTAGGATTTCGTTGTTGCTTTTACTTAATACATCAGTTTATGTCCAGCAAACAAATGTTTTATTTATCATTTAGAAAAAAATGGCCTGGGTGAGAATCAAACCCAGCATCTGGCTTAAAATACTTTGTCAAGGGGCGCATAAATGTGTCCTTCCACATTTTACACCGAAGTTGAAGTTCCATCCTTTAAATTCCTTTATAAATAAGAACTCACGAAAGATAATTTAAACAATTGTGTGATGTGCACGATTATTTATACTGGCTTTGGATGTATTTCAAAACATAAAAGTATGTTTATCAGCAGTCTGGTTACCATAGTAAAAATACTTTTGAATCTAAGTTATTACTGTTAGTTATCTGGTTGACTGTTTCTCGGGTTCTATTTCCGGGTCGGACCAAATGTTTGTGTGAACTTGCAAATATTCGTTTCGGAGTTTGTGTGTTAATATGTATGTATTTACAAAAAAAAGTATGTAAGTATTCTATCAGTCAGTCTAGCTTTCATAGTACAAGCTTTGCTTAGTTTGTAACTAGAAGGCTTTGTGTTGACAGATGTTTAAATTTTTTAATTAAATATTATTATATTAATATTAGAAAAGTGTATTATACTATTGCAAGATATCTCAACGACAAAACCGCCTGGGATTAAGCTGCTCACTCTGTTTAATTTTTGTCTTTTATTTTTGTTTTTGACATGACGATAATTTATTATTTGTTACACTTTTACCTTTATTTCTATTTATTGATATGCATTATTTCACCCAATTATAATATATATGACTCAAATTATATAAATAATTAGGTTTCTTTTTACTGAGAGATAGATATTTGCACTTGAAGAATATTGTCTGGATTTTAAAAGGGACGATAATCCTTGAGTTTGTTTCGTCTTAACATAACTCTACTAAAGTTAAACTTTGTATACTCATGCTCGCTGTACTGTTAGTTTTGCGACACTAGTGCCAATATAACCCCTCCAAATAAATTCAGTATGCATAAAGTCAGGGATAGAATTTTATATTAGCAAACTAGAATTGTTCGAAAGCTACATCTCAAAGACCGATGTTCTAAATTTAAAAAGGTATGTAACAAATATCGTCAGTCAGACTCGGGCGTCGAGGCAGACCAATAATACAGTTAATGAAGTATTTTACCCTCTAATAGCTATGAATAACGGGTCACGCAAACCCACAATTATTTTTCTGTCCCGATTTCCGAATCTGTCTCTGGATTTGTTATGGAAGTATTACAGAAATAACCTTCGTTTTCTAATCAACCTCTTTTCTTAAGGACGCCAGCAAGAGTTTAAAACTGCAGCTCTAGCATCAAAACGTGCTGGAGATAAAAACTTGGCTCTGGAGTATCTCAAGGTTGTGAAACAATTCGACTTTGTGGTCGATGCGTACAAGTCTGGACAAGAAATGGATCTGAACGAATTGCCCACAGCAGAAATGATAGCCGCCGCTTTTAAGTCACAGAAAACGGAGGATGTGACGCAGAAATCTGCGGGTGAGTTGTTTATGAAGATTTTTAAGTGACATAACGCTATATAATAGTGAATTTTCACTAATCGAGAAAACAATACTTTTCCATTTAAACCTGGCAACAATGAACGCTCTGTATTAATCACGTTTCCGTGAAAAATAGGTGGGGTGTAATTAATATTTTACAGTAAGCTCGGTAATACACCTCTACTCGAGAGATCATTTTTCAAAAAAATATAAGGTGTATTATGTCAGAGTTAAAACTCTTAATCTGCCAAAAGTAATTTAAAATGAAAAATTAAAGTTTTGACAGAAAAGCATATGTTTATAGTGATTTGTAGTTAATATTTTTGATGGAATCATTTAGTTTACGTTTATCTACCTCGATTGCGTAAAACTAGTTTTGAATCATTTTAGTCACTAGTACTATTGTCAAACCCTCCTTTAGAAGGAGAGGCCTATGTTCACCAGTGGACTAGTAATGGTTGTTGATGATGACTATTATCAAAAGCCTACGTTCAAATTTAATTTAGACTGGTTAAGAGTTTCACCTGCAACATATAAAACGATATTATAGGCTTTTAATAGTGAACTTTCAATCTTAGTATATCTAAAAAAGAAGAAACTTTCAGCCTGATCTGTCAACGCACAGCTGCAACTGCCTGGGTCTAGGAGCATTCAATTGTGCACAAATGTCTCTTAGGTGTTTTCGGGGGGTGCTTTTTACTATTGACAACAGGCACCAAAGGCTTTTTTTCAAATTTATTAAATTTTTGTTTCTATTTTTTAGTTTGGTTTTCTATAAAAGCGTGTTTTTTAGTTTTTTTAAACTATTTTTTTTTAAAATTAGTGTATTGTCATTGGTCCTCGATATATCTATAAAGTTTGAACGAATTCTGACCGTTTAAGTCAGTCAAAATCACGCCCAAAGCAGTCGGTTACAAACATACAAACAAACATACAAGTGAAGCTAATATAAAGCGTGTAAAATTTCACCACTTGGGGTGCAAAATGGGGGTTGAAAATTTATATCATTCGTCTTAAATTTATTTCTTTATCGGTCATGGGCGATGGTCAGTTTCCATCAGGTGACCCTTCTGCTCGTCTGCCTCCTATAACATAACATATGAAACTTATTTTTGGTAGTAGCGTACCCGTAGAAGGATACTCTACTACGGACTAGCTTTTGCCATCGACTTCGCTTGCATCGTCTCGGACGAAGTGGCTGGCAATAACTAGTCCTTTATAAAGATGTATTACTTTGGTCCTCAATAATTGTAGGTATGATACCTACCTACCTGTACAATTAACAATTAAAAATAAATAATATGTACTTGACAGAGCCTCCCCCGGAGCCGGTGAGTGAGAGTACCGGCCTCGTCACTGCGGCGACCGTGGGCGAAGCTTTACGTCAGAGGCTGGCTGCATTTCAGGTATATTCTCATTAAAAAAGGAATAAAGGACTTGCACACTTATTGACGTTGAACTTAAAGCACATGGACTGCCTCGGTGGTGCAGTGGTAGGTAGGTGGGTGGTAGTATGCGACTGCGATGCCCCGGTCGGACCAAATGTTTGTATGATCTGTAAATATTTGTTTCGGATATTTTCCATATTTGCTAAAAAAAAGTATTTTATCAGTCAATCTAGCTTTCATAGTACAAGCTCTGCTTAGTTTGAAACTAGATGGCGTTGTGTGTTATATGTCAGAAATATAAAACAAATAAAATAATAATAAAAATAATAAAATATTTAGTATAATAAATAATAAATTTATTTATTTTCAGACATTAGTCCATAGATATGTTAGTAACAGTAATCTTACAACTATGTTAGTTCTACATTAACACAAAACAAATTAAAAAATAAATCGTGGGGATGCGCTAGCATGCAGACGCATCCACCTTTGTAGGATTGGAAGATCCCACCTCTCGGACAATACTCTCAGGATGCCATTGGTGCTGCTTAGCAGTCGATTGGACATTGACGCGCTCCGCTTCCTTATGATTGCATAAAAGTCATCGCAACGTGCCTCCGCGAACATGTTTGATGCACTGCAAAACCTCGACAGATTCAATAGCATCCTGAAAGCATTGTTGTACTGGACGCGTAGTGCGCTGTACGCCCGCTGCGTAAAGTTAGTCCACAAGCTGCACGTGTAGAAGGACTGACAATATGCTTTGAAAAGAGTAACTTTTACTGGTGTGGTACAACGTGCGAACCTGTGAGCCAACATATTACACCGGACAGACAGCGCCCTACGCTCCCTCTCAATATCAAGGTCATCTGATAAATCATCGGCGACCCAATGCCCAAGGTACTTAAACTTATAAACTCTCTTTAAAGGAGTTCCGCAAAGAGTGACTGGAGGTACAATTGAGTAGCATTTGGTACCAGCTTTAAAGATCATAAACTCGCTCTTTTTGGCATTATACTTGAGACCATGACTCGCCGCATATGTCTCACAGATACCTATCAACCTACGTAGTGCACCAATCGATGGGCTCAGCAGCACCATGTCATCAGCGTAGCTTATATTATTTATGCACACACCGTCAATAGAACAACCTATGTTTGTGCTACTAAGCTCACCGATCAGCCCATTCATATACAGATTAAAGAGACGAGGCGAGGATATACCACCTTGCCTCACGCCACACTCCAACCTGTACATGTCCGACCGCACATCCGACCATCTTACCCTATTTTTCTGCTGACTGTACCAATATTTAAATAGAGATACAATCTCACGTGGTAGATTCGTATCACATTGTAGCTTCTGCCACAGCCTGTCATAATTAACAAGGTCAAAAGCTTTTGAGAGATCTAAATAACAAGCGTATACAGGTGTATTTCTAGCTGTATAGTACTGGACAGTCTGCTTGAGACAGAGAACAGCACTCTCAGTTGATAAACCGGGCCTAAACCCAAACTGTGCGTCATGTAATTGTAGGTGCCGTTCCAACTGCCGGTCAAGCAAACTGTCCAGCACCTTAGCAATAACAGTCGCAAGTGAAATTGGCCTATAATTAGACATATTCGACAAATCGCCAGTCTTATCCTTTACGATAGGCACAACGTCTGTATACATTAAATCGTCTGGCAAAAAGCTATGACTAATACACATGTTGAACAAGAATGCAAGCACCCTCGGTAGATGTATGCCCGCATACTGCAAATGCTCGATGCTAAGACTGTCGTGACCTGGGGATTTGCCTCTTACCATATTTTTTATAACTAGGGCAACCTCCTTAGCGGAAAACCTGATGTTAATATACCCGGGACGACTGTCCGCAGCGAGCATTTGCGACGAGGGTCCGAGAGGTGATGACACACTGAAGTGACGCTGAAAGGCACAAGCTATATCGTGTGGGTCGTGAACACTACCCACACTCACCGGAGAGCTCGACTTAGGGTTCAACTTACTCGTATTTTTCCAAAAATTAACATAGTTTTTATTCGAATGGTGTTTCGCAATAATGTCCATCTTAATTTGAGTTTCATTGTTCTGACAGTGCTTTAATTTAGATTTAAATATTCTTCTAGTTTCAGTCATATTGTTATATATATACCCCGAACTAGGTTTGCCGTAGGTCACCCACGTTTGAAACCAAAATCTCGCTCTCCTGTGTGCATCACTAACATACCTATTCCACCCTATCACATATTTATGTTTCCGTGCAACCCCTTTGCGGCTCAGCTTAGCGGCTTCAGTAAGAATACTGACAATCTCATTATACATTTTAATTAAGAGTATTTTATGTTGCTCATTATTACACACTTTACCAGCGCAGTTAGTAAATTCTGTTGGGCAGTCAATTAATTTTAATTTAGAATTACAATAGGTGCTATATTCTTGAATTTGACAATAATCTCTCGACCCCCATTTTACATCATTAAGCGAACTAACACTGGTTGAAACTTTAGGCAAAATAACATTTAAGTTACATTGTATAAACAAAGGATGGTGATCGGACCAATATGTGTCATACAATACTTTCATATTTACAACCGTGCGCCTCGCTGCGCTTGTTACAACACAGTGATCGAGCCAACGGCGGCACCCGTGTGACTCACTTACAAACGTATAAGTATCGCGCGGCATGCATTCAACGTCTACAAGCGACCACGATCGCTCAGAACAAAAAGTTATTAGTTCGTTAGAAAACAGCTCACCTGGGTGCGCGTTGAAATCACCCAGAATAAATACCGATTCCACGTCACTACTTTCAATTATTGCGTTTAGTTCACTTAAACAATCCGTAAACTCCGCTAAATTTTCCATAGAACAAGTAGGCATGTAAATAGATATCACTATCATAGACCGGTCGTTGAGCACAAGCTTTATCGCCGCTAGGCGCACACTTCTACACGGTAACACTGACACAGAGGGAAAAAACCGCTTTTCTCCAGAGTAAGGCGACACCACCGTAAGGTCTCCCTCTGAGTACGCCATCTGACGTATCGACAGCCGACTTCGAAGTAAACGAAAATTCGTCATCAATACCGCCAACGAATTGTATATCATGGGGCAACAGCCAGGTCTCCTGAAGCGCAACTATATCGGCCTCCTTACATAACTTTCTTACACATTCTACGGACCTGATGACACTCTTACAGTTGAACGTTACAAGCGTAGTTGTACTATCCATCAATTGATAAATTAGCTCCATTTATCTCCCGATAAGCAGGCGTACCCTGCTTTCGTTTAAAATCAAAGTAACGGCGGTATAAAATACCTTCGGGCCAGAAATCGTCTTTCAAAAATAATTCTAGCTTTTGCTTTGGTACAAAAGCTATGTACCCGTTATAGTCCTTACTTAATTTCATGTTTATTTTATCAATCTTTATGTCTAAGTTAGTCTTTTGCAGTAAATAAGCTTTGATGTCACTTTCAGTTGTCTCTTTAGACACATTGTATACATATATTGGCACTTTAATATCCGCTGCCTTAAAATTACTATTTAAGTCGAGAATTGCTTTTCCTGTACTTCCTACAAAACGATTTCTCAGTCTCCTTTTTTTTTGAACCAAAGTCCACTCCTCTTGGACAGTACTGGACTGTTTCTTCGGCCGTCCATTCTGCACAATCGCAGAGAACGTCTTTTTACTGTCGTTACTAACATACGGGGAAGCCGCCGGCAGGGGCGGTGACGGTGGCGGAGGGTCGCTGTTAAACGTACAGCTGGCGACAGATGAAGGTACTGGAGCGTTACCAGTCATCACATCGCCAGTCGGCGAGCGATCAGCTGTTTTCTCTTGGCTGTCAGGCACCGTTCGGGTAGTAAATACGCGCGGAGATTTAACTTTACGCCTTTTTGACGTCAAATTACGCTGTTTCGAGATGGGTGTCATCACAGTAGCTTGGGTTTCTGTGGATGTATGCATACCACAAACAGGCGATAGCCCCATGGGCCCACTTTCGTACTCATAGTCGGTGCGTAGACCGGCGTCCCGTTTTGCAATTAAATTTCTTGGGAAGTTATTGACAATTGAGGCATTTTTAAGTGCTTCAATCTCCGCCTGCAGCTCCTGCAGCTGGTTTACAGGCGCGTACTCAGTGGAGATACGATTCAATTCACTCCGAAACCACACCAGGTCCTTTAAAATACGGGTCACGTCAACATGATCGAAAAGAACTGGGGGTAGTTTTTGCAAATCTCGAGCAACAAAAATAGGAATGTCCTCAGGATCCGTTTCCTTTAATAAGCAAACTATATCATCAATGTCACGTACTGCCTTTCCTTGTCTTCTTCTTGCCTTCTTTGGTTTTGTTGTTGATATAGAATCAAACAACAAATTTTTAGCATCTAAAATTTCACTTTCAGCAAAGGCACTAACACAAATGCGGGTAATACTTTGTTCATCCATCACGTCTAACTTATTACAAATGAAAGCTAATACTTCATTTATAACTACGTTGCAATTAGAACACTTCACAATTTGAGAAGTCATTGTTTACAACAAATCTTTTCACGGCGAGCAGGCGACCGAACACGGCGCGATGCAGGCACACCTGTCGACAGCGCGTGCGACGCGTGACTGGTGATAATGCAATACTGGTGAACTTTACTAAATAAGCTATAGGTTTTATATTTCTTTATTTTATTACTTAAATTTTGTAAAGCTTTATAATTAAACAAGCTGACCTGGCTTTCAAAAGGAATAAATTTTCCCCGTTATTGGACCATTTTTTATTGATGCTCGGGTCCTAGTGGTCGTAGCTGGATGTTATATAGCCTTTCTCGGTAAATGGTCTATCATATATTTAAAATAAACATCAATTCGAAACAGTAATTTCTGAGAATGGCGCGTTCAACGAAACAAACAAACACGTCAGCTTTATGACATTAGTATAGATAACTCAGACGTATCGGTCGGTTCCTACAGCTATCCTTTCTGTCCGTATTTTTTTTTCCAATATTAAATACGTTTACTACTTTACAGCAACAAGAAGCCAAAGCGAAAGAAGACGGTAACTCTTCCAAGGCGAGACGTATGGGTAGGATAGTGAAGCAGTATCAAGACGCGATCAAACAACACGCGGCGGGCCGCCCCATCGACGCCGACGAGCTGCCCACCCCCGCTGGACACGCGCCCCTCCCCACCGGTGGGGTGAGTCTTTCTTATATACTAGTGATCGCCAACTAACTAACTAACCTTTAAGAAAAGAGCGTACTCCTTTCTCAAAGGCCGGCAACACGCTTGTGACTCCTGAGCTGCAGGCAGTCGCTTTCCATCAGGTGACCCGTCCGATAGTTTGCCCCCTCTTCGATAAACTAAAAAAAATATTATTGTTACTAAATCTACAGTACTACAGGAAACTTTTTAGTCAAATATCAGCTTTATACCCGCTCTATCTGAGTTCATCTTCTCATGATGTTACAGGCCCCATCGGCATCCTCAGCTGCAGCTCCGTCCCCTTCTTCCGGTCCAACTCCGTCTCCCCGTCCCGCTCCCCGCCCCGCGGCCTCCCGCCACGACAAACAGCTAGCCTACCTGCTTCTGCGGCAAAAGCAATTCAAGGAAGCTGCGCTCAAAGCGAAGAAAAGAGGTGAGCATACATATGAAATAAGCCAAACAGCGAACTGTGAATGAACGAATGGCGTAGTGGTTTAAGCGGTCGCCACGCCGCACATGGGACTACACTTTGTGTGATCCACAAATTAATATTCCTAATATATGTTACTTACTTAAGAATGCTTTAATTTAGAAGGTTGTGGTGTACAGGTGACCTGGAGACAGCTCGGGAGTACTTGCGCGCGGCTAAAGGGTTCGACTCCGTGATCGACGCGGCGCGGGGCGGGCTCGCCGTCGACCTCAAGTCCCTGCCGCTGCCCCCTACGGCTAAGGACGATTTGGAAAATACGTAAGTGATCAAATTCTGTATATTCTTTCTTTTTGCACCATTGTAATAGCATGGTTGATGCGAGCAGCCGAAAATCGATCGAAGCGGTGTGCAATGGGAGAGACCTATGTCCAGCAGTGGACTGCGATAGGCTGATGATGAACTGTGTTAAGCAATTCTTCGTTGCTTTTTACCCCGTGGGCGACGATACTGAAGAAACAATCTTCGACCTAATTCTGGGGAGAGGAGAAGAGGGTGCACTAGGACCCTAATTATGTAAAGGGACGGAAATGTGTAACAGTAACTCGCTGAAGTGCTCGAGACTTGATCAAAGAGCAGGCGTGGTGCTATATAGATGTATTACATCATATATGTTGTTAGTTTTTTTTTCTATATCACAGCTAGATCAATGAAACTGTAATTTGTTTTTTTTCTCATGTAAGTGTTAACCAATGTTATTCTTTGTAAGAAATAAATAATCCTAAACCTGATACCTCTAATTTCAGACACGATCATTTCAAATTGTATTAAAAATATATGCCTATCATTTCTTTCTAGGTTTGACGTAGTAGCCACGGAAGACTGCAGTCCGTCGGAGGACAACAACACGCCCATTGACTCTACAGGGGAAGATGAGGACGTACTCTCCCGTCTGCAGCATCAGCTCAATAATCAGCTGAAGATGTGCCATACCAATCGCGATCACAACAGAGACATGGGCAACATTGCCGAGGCCAATAGATTCGAGCATTTAGCTGTGAGGGTGAAGGAAGATTTGGATGTTGTTGTGGTAGCAAAAAGGTGCCGTTATTTCTTTTTTTTTTTAAAGACAACCCCCATTAGTAATATATCCTGTCGCGGGGGATTTTACAAACATACATGAAACGGACACAAAGAACACCCAGACTCAGAACAACAATTTGTGGATCACACAAAGTGTCGTCCCATGTGGGGTTTCAAACCCACAACACTCGGCATAGTAGGAAGCGGCGTGGCGACCGCTTAAACCACTACGCCATCCGTGCAGTCTAAGTTATTATCAATGTATAGTTTACTAGCGTTTGCCTGTGACTTCGCTCGGGTTAAGGTTATATTATATTCTTCAGGAAGAGTATTTTATTCTGAATAATATAAAATTCGAGTAAAAACCTATTCACACTCATATATATAATATTAGTCATGATTTCTTTCAATATGTCTAAATGTGTAACATACACTCTATAGTAGAGTGTATGTTACATATTACGTTGCAAGAGTTTTACAATTGATTTATTAGCTTACAAAGGTATACATATCTAGATTTACAGGTTTTGGTAATTTGTACTAATAAAAACTAAGGTGGTACTCACGGAATAATAAAATGAAAGGAGACGCGCATATTTTTATAAAATATGATATTCAAATAATAAATAATAATACCGTTCATCAGTACCTACGTCATAATATATGCATATATTTGCATAATATATGCATATATTCATGTTGCCAGGTATACACAAAAGGACATCAGGTACTTCTTAATCTAAAAAGTAAAGTTCCTCGAGAGAGTTAAAAACTGCTTTTTCTTCTTTATATGCAAAAGGTTTAAATATCGGTATCGTCGCCCTTTTTTTTGGGCCAGGAATATACTTATTAAAATATCCAACTTCCAGCCTCGGTCAAAGCCCTCCGAAGTTTCACTACGAGACGCGGCAGTTCGCCGTGGTGCAGTGCAACACCGACCTTAATGAGAACGACTTAGAGTTGACAATCGTGAGGGGCATCGCTTACAATGTTTCAAATCCCAAGGATGTCGATACTTATGTCAAATTCGATTTCCCTTTCCCACAGGTATGTTATAATTTTTAAATTTATTTATCACTTCACAGATCTTTGTGTTTATTAGGATGGGCCTTTTGGTCTAGTGGTAAGTGATCCTGACTGCTAAGCTAGAGGACCTGGGTTCAATTCCCACCCAGTACATTTATTCACACAATCATTTATTCTGTGTCCGGGTGTAATTTATCTATAATATGTATGCATTTAGAAATATTGAAGTATGTTTATCAGTCTAGTCTGGTTACCACAGCACAGGCTATGCCTAGTTTGGGATCAGACGGCCGTGTGTGCGAGGGGTGGGGTTATTATTATTCTCCATGTCTTGCTATTGACAGGACGCGCCAATGTCGGACCGCACAGCTCTAGTGAAGGATACAAACAACCCCGAGTACAACGGGGTGTTCCACCTCCCCATACAACGGAACAGAGCCTGCTTCAGAGTGTTCAAGAGGCATGGCATTAAGCTTGAAGTTTATTCTAGAGGGTAAGTTTACTTTAAAATTTCGTACAATTCCTTATATAATAGAGATGTTGACCAAATTATTAATTGTTATTTTGTATAATACAGTAATCAAATTTAAAAAAGAAATCTCGTGTCTGCAAATAATAATCGAATCAATTACGTCACTAACCGATAAACTAGCTGACAGCTGTCAGTTAGCAGCACATTATTGTATATACATACTTACTTTAGTGAGTGGAGCATTGTTTGTATATATCGGTTAGTGACGTAATCAAATTTGTATTGCAATTGTGTATTTTCTCGAGAGGTTTTAACAGTAACTAATTTTTTATTTTCAATTATTTTTAACATAAAATGAACCTTTAAATAATAGCAGATCCTAAAATTTATTAACCTCCCTATTCATATATAGATAAGACTCATTATAGCTATAGTCTCAGTATAGCTCATTTTTCATTAAATTTTAATATAAGACCTGGCTCATTACTTTTAATTGCATACATGTACAGTTTCTTTTAAATTTTGTCGATCAATCCCATATCGTTTGTCATACTATTTAAATTCCATCTAATACAATAATTTTAATTGAGACTATCATTATAGTAATATGTTTTAAATGTTATCCGTGTGGATTAAGAATACGGAGTGTCATCCCGTAGGTGTTATAAGAGCCGACTAAGAGAGCAAAGTACGCAGCACAACAGCACTGCAAAGATAAGGAAAAGTTGAAACCCTAAATCAATCCGTCTGGCCATCGTGGTATTAGTAGGCCAAAACCTCCTATCTAAGTAAAGGCCTATGTAAACCAGTGGACTATTAAATGCTGTTGATGATGAGTCATTTTAAGGATACAAATGTTACAGTAGTCGCATATTATGATGTGTTCTGACACCTCACCAAACATTTGACGGCCAACTCTAGCACCGCGCGCTTCCCCGGCTACTTTAAATAGTTTATTACTAGTGTCGTAGACAGGGAGTAGTCTCGCCTTAGAATCGATCGATATTTAATCTTTGATATCCAGATTTTAGTTCCAAAATTTGTTAGGCTTATTTTTAAATAAAATAAAACCTTTGTTTTGTTAATTTTAGTAGATTGAATAGAATAGTGAATGTACTAAGAGTATGTTACTCAAATTCCATCTAAGTAAGATGAGATTTGAGTAACATACTGTATTGTTTAGTACAGATTTGAGTAACGCAATTGGTAGCCATGCGAACACCTCTGACAATCGTTACGGATAGTTGGAGCCCTTCTCCGACCACAGTCTATCTACAGAACTATATCGCCTAGTACTTGGCTTGTGGAGGTCTGATAGCGGTCGGTCCGCGTAAAAATTCAAAGTTCAACCGTATCGTAGTAGGCTTAAAGCCGACCCCAAGATAGTAAAAAGCAAAATGTTGTCTCGAAGTATTTGTAAAAATTCAACAGGTATTATTAAATATTTGTCCATCGATACCAGCTATTTAAAGTGCTATTTTAGTGAGAAAATGCGGTACCCTTGCTTTTTATTTATGCACATCTTATTGGGAACGTCCACTTTTTTAATGTGCTTATGGGTCCAAAATCACTACTCACAGGAGGTACTCATGTGTATATAGCTGTAGCATCTTCTTATGTAATATGCTTTTTCTTAAAATTGCACTAAAACTATTCATTATTAGTTCGTCTATTATTGATTTTGTTCATCCAAAGGTTGCCTGTAAAGATGGATCTATGTGATCTGGCCATTTTTTGTAAATATCAGTTTTGCGTATTTAATTTAAGCAATATATTGTTGGTGTATAGTAAATTGTATTATATTTTTTTGTATTGTATTTTATTGTTCATGCGTATTTCTGGTTTATCTCAAACATTGATAATTTATTTTAATACTGTTCTCTAAAACTAATTTCGGACTTCGGGTGAACAGCCACAAACACACAAACTACTCGTATAACTACAGAATGTAGTGAGTGCAAATTTAAAAGTTATTAAAAATCTTGTTATCGTTTATTTCAAATAAAAACTCACTTTTTACATTTATTATTAACAAGAATTTATTTAAAAGAGCTAAAATCTAAAAAAAATGTGTTTGTAAATTGTCAAAATATACAAGCAAAAATAATGTATTTCTTATAATAAGCATTTTATAGTATGTGTAAGGAAATAAGTAAATCAGAACATATACACCATAACCCATTGGATTTTTAGGTTTCATTTCATTTCACAATTTAAAAGTCAGATATTTTCATTTTCCTTTCACTGCTTTTATCATTAGTCATTACGCTAATGGTTGTATGGGTAGTAAGACCTGCAGCTATTGTATTCTCATCCCTATGGTGTGGTCCTATGGTTGCATGTCGTGTAGTGTAGCTTGTGTTGGGTGCAGTTGCTGTTTGGCTGACGCCTTCTCGTGTTGCAGCGGCTGGTTCAGGAGCGACTCGCTCATTGGCACCGCCAACGTCAAGTTGGCGCCACTCGAGACACAAACCACTCTGCATGAAGCCTTCCCTGTAAGTATTTGTAGATTAATATTATATTTAATAAAATTATAGACACGTTTTAATATCAAAAGAAAGAAAACCGGTATTAATCAGTTCTTTCGTTACTTTTTACCGAGTGAGAGATTACCGGGGCCTAAACCCCCTTGTTTCGGAAGGGGGGTCGGGGAGGCACTACGCACTTGTGACTCTGTGACTTACAGATCATTACCATATGGGCCGTCTGCTCGTTTGCCCTCAAAGGGAAATACTATCCACCTTCCTGTTCCCTTTGCTGAGTACAAATTGAGCTTGTTAAAACGAATCATTTAAATATGTCTTATTTAGTAGCCACCGAAGAATGCTTTTAAACACCTCTTAGATTCATCATCAGGTCAGCTTCAGGAACCCAAATTATAGTATTGTCACCCAAATTAATAAATACAGAACATTTCGGAGAGCAATAGGTTGTTTTTATGTACTTCGAAACATAGGTAGGATCCTCCGGTTGCACGTTACAACTGCGTACTTACGTACGTACGAGTACATTATACACTAATCTGCGAGAGAACTTTTATTGCGGGATGTAGGATCAGTAATTACAACGCAGTGCAACGCGTCTTAGCTACTTGATGTTAAAGTATGTTTTTGCTGTAAGTGGGAATCTTCATAGACTTAAAATATTTTATTTAAGTTAAGAAATATAAACCACGCTATTATAAGATACAAAACCAAAATGTATGTACATACTTTTGATAGGTACTTTTAAGTGATATCTGAAAGAAAAAATAAACAAAGCTTTGTTTAGGTTGTTCGGATTTCCTGTAAATTCATGCATTTTACATGTAAGCAGTTTCATCCGGATCCTATCTTTTTCGTTTTTTTAAAGACAGGTCTGGGAGTAGGAATAAATCCCGTATCGCGGGGAACTTTGCAAACATTAATGAAACGGACACAAAGAACACATATATATAATTTACTCACACAAAAGTTCAAGATAGCCTTGAACTTTTATATAAGTAGAATTTTGAATGCCAATAACTTTATATGATGTATATTCCCAGCTAATGGACGGTCGTCGTCCAGCGGGCGGTTCGTTGGAGGTGAAACTGCGCGTGCGCACGCCGTTGTTGCAGCAACAGATAGAGCACTCGAAACATCGTTGGCTTGTAGTAGACAACTGACTTCCTACGCCCCTTATGTGATTATAAATACTTATGTAAAAAAAAAATGTTTTTATACGACTCTTTGTCCTTAACAGTGATATACAAATAATGCAGCATCATCCTTAATAAGAGCTTGCAAGAATACAATGCAATGTTTATAATATATAAAAAAACTTATGGAACAAACAGTGATTTTATCGCTACTTGCGATTTCATACAGACAGTCTTTTAACTGGACAATTGCTTTGGATTGTGTTCTTGTAACTTATTTACACAAACACAAAGCTAAATACTTTGAACAGATAGCAGTCGAAACTATGTTAACACATATGTACATAAATAAGCCATTTTAAACATGACTGACAGCTAACAATCAACGAATTTAAACAATCGCGTTTTAAAACAAACAAATGCGATAAATGTTTCGCTAATAATGCAAAAAACGCAGATACTACATTTGAAAATATGAATAACACACGTAAATTGATAATTTATAAGTCAAACGATTCTGACCGCGGCGTTAGTTACGCTGTATCTTTGCTGTATGTTTTAAATCTCACATTGCGAATTGTATTTATAACTTAAATTCTGTTCAAATCTGATTGACAGACATTTCTATAAAGGACTTCTACAGTCTATATGTGACTTCAAGATATTAAATCTTCAAATTTCACTCATTCTGAAGACAATCCCTAACCTTAGTAGAAGGGGTTAAAAAAAATACTAGTTAAATTTCTACCCAGATTTGAGCAAAAAAGTCTTGATATTGTATCATTTAAATTTAAAAAAAAGTATAGGTGGAATGCTTTGAGCATTGCTTATTACAAATAAGTAGTATTAAGCGTTTTAATTTAATTGTAAAAAAATCTCTTTAATTTTATTACCATATATATAATTCAGTATCAATGTAAATATATATTTTCCTTTAAAATGTACTATGTAAAATCCTATAAGGGTAATCCTATAATAATCTAAAACAATTACCAGTTCAAAAAAAGTTATTATTTTAAAATATGAATAAGAGAGGCCCTAGTGCACAAGTTTATTTCACATCAACTATAGTCCATCAACGTCGTGCGCGATCGTCCTGCGGGGTGACAGACGGTGGCGGGGACGAGGTCCTCAAGATGTCAGCGGGTAGCGGGTGGTGTAGCGGGGAAGGGAAACGCTTCTCTTCGTGTGTAGCCGTGTGCTAGAATGACGCGCTACCTCGCCCCCGCCACTGTCTGTCACCCCGCGGGACGGTCGCGCACGAGATTGCCGGGTTATAGCTCTCGACAGCAAGCGCGTTCGCCGTTACGATTGGTGAATAGTTTAGTTCGGGCCAATCACAACGCCAAACGCCGTGACGATCGAGTAGAAATGAATAAAAAACCCACAATTGCATTTCAAAAAATGATTGAAAAAGTTTAAAATTAAATTTTAAACTATATTTGTATGACATTAAAGTCTAAAACATATACTATCTTCTAAATTCCTTTATATCCAATTTTAGGTATGGTATGTGTCATAATGGATCTTTTGTCGTTAAGTATAATATGATTAGTTTCCACATATTATTGTAAAAATGTTTATACTCGTATTTGTATGTTAATAAATGTAATTAAATTGGTTTTATCAATATTCATTGTATTATTTATTTACCCGAAATAGATTTTTGTATCTTGTTTATGAACTTTCATCCATCCATCCTAATCAACTCCAACACAGGCTTTCCAAGAAACTTATTGCATCGCACAACCAACCTGCGGAACGGGCCTGACCTGGGACCGACTTGGGACCTCAAGAAAAGAGCGTACTCCTACCACAAAGGCAACGTTCTTGTGGCTCTTTGAGTTGCAAGTGTTCATGGCATGTGGTAGTCACCATCACGATACCCATTTGATGAATAGGGGTGGTGAGACTCCGTATTTTTAATCCGTCACCATACGGTATGCAAACTACATACTCTTGACAAATGATATATATTTCTGCAAGTAAATATTTTTAGATATTTTTACGAGTCTAACTTTACACCTAGAATTCGCCGGCATTTCCTAAGACTCACTCTGGGAAGAAACGCCGGGACAAACCACAAAGGTGTCTTTTTTTTATACGAGTCCGTGTACAATGTTAAAGAGAACTGTGTAGTGCAGTATAGGGTCTGGGTTGGAGTTTTGAAGATAAGACCATAGTTTTGAGTCGGCCTGTCCATACAGACAAAATGTCTATTGATAAAAAAAATATTTTGTGTTTTAGGGCTGTCGAAAAAATTGTTGCTTTATTAAAATTAATGTGTTAAATCATCTTGCGTGATATGTCTGAATATACCCATTTGTTGCCAATGTACTAATTAAAGAATAAAAAATAACTGGAGCCTAAAATACCGCCTCTCCCGCTGTTTAATGGTTAGGGGGGGCTTAAACACCAGGGCCTTCCTTTCTAGGGTATACCTGGTTCCCCGGCTATTAGTACCCGGCGAAGGCGTGCGGTTTTAGTCGGTTCGAGTCCGACATGCCACCGACAGGTGGTATCCGAGGGGATTTCCGCACGGAAAAAAAAAAAAACAAAAAAAAAAAAAAAAAAAAAAAAAAAAGGGGGGGCTTAAAGAGCGGCATGTGACTCTTGACTTGCATGTAACAATGGGTGCCAGTGTCACTTACCATCAGGTGACCAGTCGTTTGCCCCATATATCACAAATAAATACTTCAAAAATATTTCGAAAATAAATTTTCAACCCTCTCACGTCTCTTTTGTACCACAATTTTATTACTGCATCATCCTTATAGTTGATTGGTAAAAACTGCATTAGGCATTTAGTTCGTATTTGTAAAATATGTGCATAAAGTTTATAAATGATAAAGAAGAAAATAATAATGTACAAAAAATGTACATGTGGCCCATGAGGGGATCGAACCCGCGACCTTCGCGTTATTAGCACGACGCTCTAACCAACTGAGCTAATGGGCCGATGCTCTTTCGTTTGAAATATACTATCTTATGTTTAATATGTAACTTATACAAGTTTAATGTTGATCAAATTGCATTTGTACAATATATATATTACATTACTCTGTCTTCAAGTTATCATAAGCATTGTCACACAAAATGAATTCAATTCATAATACTTAAGAAAGTTACTATATGAGATAAATTTTAAAAAACCAGCCAAGTGCGAGCCGGGGCCGTACAATCTATACAAATAAATAAAATTGGAGTGTCTGTTTGTAATATTAAAATAACCGCTTTTTACTAAATTCATATTTACGTTTACACGGTACATATGCCAAAATAAGATTTTTTACAATTTTTTGTCTGTCTGTTTGTTCCGGGTAATATCTAGAACGGCTGGACCGATTTCGACAGGAGTTTCACTGGCAGATAGCCGATGACATAAGGAGTAACTTAGGCTACTTTTTTTAGAGTAGCTTCGCCCCGCGGCGTTGCCCGCGGTTATAACAACAAACGCGGGTAACACCGCGGGTCTCTGCTAGTTATCTATAAAAACGGCAAAATTACACGTTTGTTGTATGGGAGCCCCCCTTAAATATTTGTTTTATATTAATTTAATTATTTATTTTTAAAGTGAAATTTACAACTAGGTAAACATTCTGTGAATATTTCAAGCATCTACCTATTGCCGTTATCAATACCGAGCAAAAACGAGCAAAAAATCATTGTTGTATTGGAGTCCCCTTAAATATTGATTTTATTCTGTTTTTAGTATTTCTTGTTATAGCGGCAACAGAAATACATCATCTGTGAAAATTTTAACTGTCTAACTATTACGGTTCATGAGATACAGCCTGGTGACAGACGGACAGACAGACAGACGGACGGACGGACGGACAGCGGAGTCTTAGTAATAGGGTCCCGTTATACCTTTTGGGTACGGTACCCTAAGAAATAATACCAAAGGATATATTTCCTTATTTTTTCTAAATTGATTAATCAGGTTATACACACTAATTTATTTATTTGATTTTTGTCAAACAGACACAGAAAGAAACAGTCCTTAGCTCAGAACTTTGTCTTAAGCAGTTCTTTTGCTCGTTGCTGTGTAAGCTTTATTAAATTATTATATAATTTTTCCCCCGGCAACAGACAGTGCAAACTGGTGCTGACTGAAGTCACACCACGACTCAATTGCAGACTAATCAGTCTTAGGAGACTAGACAACCGAATAGTTGTAGGAACTATAACAGGACACCTAACCCTGAACCGACAACTATTCACCATTAATGCGACGGATATCTGCTTTCAGATATCCTCTGCAAAGAGGACTGCTCTTTGCAGAGGATACCTGAAAGCAGAAGAAACGGCCGCCCACGTAATCCTAGAATGTGAGGGAGTGGGTGGCCACACAACGGGCAACTATCATACCTGACACAAATTCGCTCCTAGAACCTGTGAACGCCCCAGAAGGCTTCTGCGCTTCTAAAAGGAGCTTGGTTGGCTCACCTAGCCTAATCTTTAACTACAATCAATACCAATATTATTTTTCTTTCGTAGTTGCTACAATGTATTTTTGCTTAGAAATAAAGTTAGACGTTCGTATGTTTTAATGTATAAATTCAGAATTTTTACATATTTATAACAAAATTATAGTGCATCATTATTATTAGTAAGTTGAACTATTTTGGTATTGTTAAAAATTTCCTTATGCATTCTCATTACGCAAACGCGCAACAGATGGCGTTACCAGTAGTTGAAAACTTATCCATACTAATTTAAGTTCGTTACTAAAACATGTTGTATACTTTTTAATATTACGAGCACATTCCAGTGTTGACACAATAGCTATCTAAGGCAAGTCAGTGTACTCCTTACGCCCTTAGTTCTTTCGTCCACACATACATTATTATGTTGTTTAACCTGTACTAAATATACCTGTGTCACACCCCTATTCATCCCGAGACACCCTCGTAAGAGCCTACTAAGGTAGCAAACTACGCAGGACAACAGCACTGCAGAGAAGGAAAACTTGAAACAAATCCTATACCAACCCGTCAGGCCAGCGTAGTACAGTAGGCTAAAAC